TTTGCAATTTGCAAGGAAACTTCGTTTAATAAAAAGTACTCCATCTGATCATCATCCAACAAAAATCCANATTAATATAAATTATTAATAAAAAGTTGCAATAAATGTAAAAATTCTGTGATGAATTTGCCTAACTGAAAAATTCAGGTTTTTGATAAAACATTGACAAACTTCCTGTTATTCACAAAAGATGGTTGATTAATATATTTTCATAATCGAATATGAGTTATATCCAATACTGAATTAATTAACAAAAAAAAAATGAAAATAATTTCCATAAACAGACTAAATCGATTTTAAATGTAATCTTACATTTTATCACAAAGTTTGCAATTATAATAAATACTGGTATTTAATGAAAATGAAGTAAAAAGTAAATCAAATTAAAAATCATCTGCATGTGTGCATAATATAAATATAATTATGAATTGTTTATTAATAAGAAGCACGAACATTATCATTTATAATGTTTTAGGTTAAACAATTTTTCTTATAATGGACTTTGTTGTTTTCAATATATAGATCGATTATTTTAATAAATTTTTAAATGTAAACCATATTAAATTAAGAATTGTGATTTAAAAGTTTATTCCAATTAGTTTAATATCTACGTTTTATACGTTTTTTATAAACTTCTAATTTTCAAATAAAACATTCCAAGCAAGAATATTTTAAGATATAAAAACCAGTTTCAAAGAGAATAATAATGAATAATAATAAATTTAAAGAGAAACCATATAAATTCAGAAAAATATTGATGCAAGACTTACAGTATGGCCCTAAGTAAATAAAAGTTAAATAACTTAAAACAATTTAAATTAATCTCAACAAATTTGTTGTAGATAAAAATCTAGCAAAGAGTTGCTTAACTTTCCCGGCAACATTTAAAACTGCTTATATGTGCCTTCTGTTATAAAAAGTTTTTAATAATAAAATATCATGTTTTTAATTATTATAAAATGGCAAAGTGCTTCATTTTGAGGGTAGAGATGGGTTTTATAAAAAATTGTAGATGCTAATAACGAGTAAAATCGTACTAGAGATACACACGATCCCCTTGACCTTTACTCACTAAAATTTAATAGCATCAATCCTCCTAATAAACAAACCATCCTGCAAAATTTCAGAAATTGTCGACAAAAAAAAACAAAACAAAAAAATGTTTATTAATTAATTAAGCTTCAAATAGGGTGAACAAAATGCCCCCATACCCATACACACACACACATCCATACAGAAAAAACCCTGAATTTTTTTTGCATTTATCCACGTTTCAAGGTTCCCCGAGTCCAAAAAAATAAAAATATGGGGACATTTTTTGACCATCGTCATACTTTCCCTCTATAAAGCTGGGAAAGTAAAAATTAAAAATAAAACAAATTTTGACTGTTTATTTATTTATTTGTTTTTAGTTTTTGTAACTACCTGTTTAAAATTAACAGATAACTACATTTATAAACATAAAAACGTTTTACATTTTACTGATAAGAGATACTGCGAAGTAGCATAATGTTTTTAAATAGTAAAATATTTAAGTATTTCCGAGAAATATAAAAACAAAAAGTAAATTTTATATGGTTTATTAAAAAAACCATTAGTAATAATAAAAAATTACCTGCTTGCTGTTTAGATTAATAATGAATTTTTTTATCATATATCACTTGGCGCATTTTCGTCTTACACATAATGATGATGATATTTATACATTTTACATCAAGCATCATTTTAAATTATAGATAGACGTAACATAGAATAAGCGAGAAAATTACTGCAATTTTCAAAAAGATTTTTTCCATATCTCTTTCTGAATCTCTGAATATAATAATGCAATAGCCTATAAAATATTTATCTGAATGATAGTTTTAAATAAATAAATAGTTTTAAGCTAACTTTAAAGGAAGATAAAATCTAATACAATACAAACAATTATATTAATCTACTCTGATTGATTTTTTTTTACTTCGTTACTTCAGAATATTGATTACAAAATCATTCGAAATTTGAAATATTAAAATTGCTTGTTTGTCGTCATTCCTAACATTATCAATGTTTTAGGGTTTATTTTTAGATTTATCCGTTAAGAAAGTTAGGATATAAATATGAACTTTTAAAGCTAAGATTACAAAAAACAATAATTAATGAAATCAGTGGCCAACTGGATTATCCCGTTGGTTCCGAACACGTTTCAATTCCTTGAAAAAAAAAGCTTAAAAGTTATTTTTTATATTGACTATTCTTTTATTATGAACAATTATATACAATATAAATACTTAAAAGTAATTCTTAGGTTTGGATTGACGAATAAGGCAAAGCAACAATTGGACGATCTGCCAAAAGGCATCTTCCGGGAGGACTTTCCATGGCAGTGTTTTTCAACCTGTGGGTCGCGACCCACAGGTTGAAAAAGCCTTACACGGGGGGTCGCGGGTAAAAGAAAAAGACAAGTGTTTGTAGGTCCTGCACTACATTTTAAAAAACTACAATTTTAGCGAGAAGGCTGTACCTGTTTATTATACAGTACAATTGGTTTTTTGATCGGCATTTAGGTCTGAACGATGGGTGTCGCCAGGGAGGGGCCTAGGTGGGTACGCCCACCCCAGAAAATGATAGCCGAAAAAGTGTTGAGCTGACTTGTAAAAAGAAGTAATAAGTAGAAAAGTAGAAGTTCAGAACTCTCATCCTAAAAAAAAGGTCAACAGCACCCAGATCCCAATGTTATAATGAAAAGAAAGTTTCATACTATACGTGTCTTAAGTTATTGTCGATTCTTCTTAAATTCTCATTTTAATCAACAATAATTTCTCTCAACAGAAAGAAAATTAAATACATAATTTTTAAAATCACTGATATAGTTTTAATATGGCCCTAGGGGGTCGCCAGAAATTTTTAACTTGTAAAGGGGTCGCGTATTCAAAAAGGTTGAAAAACACTGTTCTATGGGAAACTAAGCCTTATTTAGGTGAAGTAAACCTAAACTTTATGTAGTCAGCCCGTTGGTGAGGCGCGAACCCGCGATCAATTAACTTACCAGTGTTCAGTGGTTTTATATTTGAATAAGTGTTTGTAATAAATGTTTTTTTATGACACCATAATGAGGTTTCTGCCGAATGGCCCCTCTGGCCTCTTTGATAAGACCTGCTAGAGAAAAATAAGAATCGAACTCTGGCATTATTTAGTGAAAACTGATAGCGCTATACTATAATACAAAATGACGAATATCATTCTTTTAACATGATCAGGTTGTGCTTTATTTACAATGTAAATTATCTATTAGATCAGTTCAGTTTTATATTTTTTAGTGTTGATATATTGATATACAGAGAAATATAAAATTTAGAAATTTGTTCTGTACTTTGACCTTTATTAATAGGACTTATTATATACTGGTGTAATTTCTGATTATACAAGTCCTATTAATAAACTCCAAGTAGACAATATATATGTTATGGACCAAGTGATTAATCGGGAATTATTCATAATGCCCAGTCATAATGAATAATGACCAAAAAGGACTCGCAGCGTGATAAATATTAATTTTATTTATCAAATTGACCGGTCATTATGAATACTGCTATCACCTAGTTGGCAAAGTGATGATAATACGTTGAGGAGTGATCATCCAACAGATGCTAGCCAATCGGCACTCCGAGCTGCCGATTGTTGAGTGCGTATTGCGTTTAGTATAAAATTTTAAATTGTGTGACATTTTAATTTGATTAAAAAAACTCCATTTATTTAATTTAGAAATATTTATTTTTTGTGAATTATTTCAAAGCATTTTAAAAAGAACATGTAATCTTTTNGTTTTACAAGAATAAATAATACCTTACCCGGTGTCTGTAAACGTACGCATACCTCGTGCAGTTGTCATAAACAGTAAGAAAAGCAATATCGTTTGTAATTTGCAAGGAAACTTCGTTTAATAAAAAGTACTCCATCTGAACATCATCCAACAAAAATCCATCGGGCATCTTGAGGTATGACTGGAAACATCATTCCGCTCAAAACACGAAAACAATAAATTCGCGCGCCCAGCATTTGCGTACGATTACCATTTCTTGGGTCTTCGTTTTACAGCATACAGGTCGGAAACTCTAGGCGTCAATTCGACTTAAGCACGACAAAAATCTTGTGTAATGTCGGCCCACGTTCCTTGTACCGACTTAAGCTAATTTTTTGTTCGGGACTTGTCATGTCCTTAACAAAGATGCGAAAATACAAGTCCTCGAGAGGATTCAGATCGTGCGAGTTTGGGACCCATTCCATTACTTGGACCCGATTTTGGTGAAGCCAAGCAGTAGTAGTGTATGTAGTTTGCCGAGATACGATCTTATTGGAAGATCGTACCTCTCTGCAAACGATGATATATTACAGAAGGTAGAAAATGGTGATGTTAAATTNTAAGTTAGTTTTACAATAATAAATAATACCTTACCCGGTGTCTGTAAACGTACGCATACCTCGTGCAGTTGTCATAAACAGTAAGAAAAGCAATATCGTTTGCAATTTGCAAGGAAACTTCGTTTAATAAAAAGTACTCCATCTGATCATCATCCAACAAAAATCCATCGGGCATCTTGAGGTATGCCTGGAAACATCATTCCGCTCAAAACACGAAAGCAATAAATTCGCGCGCCCAGCATTTGCGTACGATTACCATTTCTTGGGTTTTCCTTTTACAGCATACAGGTCGGAAACTCTAGGCGTCAATTCGACTTAAGCACGACAAAAATCTTGTGGAATGTCGGCCCACGTTTCTTGAAGTACCGACTTAAGCTAATTTTTTTTTCGGGACTTGTCATGTCCTTAACAAAGATGCGAAAACACAAGTCCTCGAGAGGATTCAGATCGTGCGAGTTTGGGACCCATTCCATTACTTGGGCCCGATTTTGGTGAAGCCAAGCAGTAGTAGTGTATGTAGTTTGCCGAGATACGATCTCATTGGAAGATCGTACCTCTCTGCAAACGATGATATATTACAGAAGATAGAAAATGGTGATGTTAAATTGCCTGGTATCTTATAGCATTGATAGTTCCATATGATGGGACTATCAATCACCATTGTCAGAATACTCTAAACATCCCTACATTTGCACCGTAGCTGGAAACTCGACTTCTCGATTCACATAGTTTTGGACAAGACTTTATTAGTTCGTCTGATGACCCTCCACTCAATATTTTCATATAGGACTGATAAGGACAACTTGTCGAACAGAAAGAAACTCGACAGCGAAGTGTGATTTGGTTTAAGACAGTAGTCCCTGGTCCATGCAAACTGCTTCTTACATTGAACTGACATTAACATGAGCTTTGGCTTACTCTTTTACGAGCCATAGCTCATGCGTGTAGCCTGTTGCTAGTAGTTCGCCTAAATTTCAGATAATTTTTAAGATTGATATGCTAATTATACTTACTAGATATATTTAATATGAAAAACTATTTTGTTATCTTATTTAATTATGCAGATGGTGTTGTTGGAATACTAAATGTTAGTGGAAATGTTCAAAGAGATGGGGATATAACTTTAAACGTTCAGGACCAAGACATTGTAATGATAGAACCATATAGCAAAACTCTTATATTGAAAAAGAAATTGGATAAAGAAGGACCTGAAGGAAAAGATGGAATCAAGTTAGAAGTAATCTGTATCAGGAAAAAAAGCGAAGATCCGGTAAATGGAAATTTAAAAATTTTTGAGAAATATAAGAATTATTAATAAAATCATTTTCCTTTTAGAGTATCACAATTCCAATTCATATAATTATTATGGATGCAAATGACAACACTCCAGAATTTGTCAATGCACCTTATTGTGTGCAAATCAGTGAGGTATATATCATATATTGTTTATTTGCTTTTTGTATGATGTAAAAATTAATTCATTATTTATAATATTTTAAGGCAACATTAGTAGGTTCAACTATAATCCATACAATTTTGGCAATCGATAAAGATCAGAAGGGCCCATTCAGTACAGTAGAATATTCTATTGAACGTGGTCCTTTCTCAGTAAGTTAAAATTTATTTATTTGTATAATTCTAGAATATTCAATTATATAATTATTTGATTTTTCAAAATGAATTATTATTCTGGTAATTTACTATCAATTAATTAGCATTTATCCAAGATTGTTTCAATCTTTTCAAAATTTCATCCTATTGATATAAGACTATTATAAAAAATATTTAGAATTAATTATACACATCTGATATATAGTAATTTTGTATAGTTTATAGTTATNATATTAGATAAAATTTTATCATTTAATTATGTGCACCGTCATGGCGGCGGTCGCAACAGTTTATGCTCCCTATGGATTCTTCCAGGAGGGGAGCGGCCGGCAGGCCGCCGATTGTTTAACGTCGCTAGTTATTGATAAATACTACTTATTGATACGTGTGTTCAAGAACTACCGTGAATCAATAACTAGCGACGTTAAACAATCGGGAGCCTGCTGGCGGCTTCCCTCCTGGAGGAATCCGTCGAGAGCACAAACAGTTGCAACCGCCGCCAAATTCGGTACTAAACGCAACATGCACGCACAACTCAGATGCGAGTGCTGATTGGCTAGCGTATTTTGGATGATCACTCCTCAACGCATTATTATCACTTTGCCCGACTACATGATAGCAGTATTCATAATGACCGGGCATTATGAATAATGCTCATATTAATCACTTTGTCCATAACATATACACAGAAATGTAAAACAGCAAGTACACAGAGGTAAAAAGAATTCATCTTGAATTTTATATTCAAATATTTTTAGATAAAGGAAAAGAAAACGTAACAACCTATTGCTTTTATATTCATACAAAGACTGTAGTATATTTAGTTAAAATTACAATTATTATGTTTAATTTATTTGTAATATATATGTTATGGACCAAGTGATTAATCGGGCATTATTCATAATGCCCAGTCATTATGAATAATGACCAAAAAGGGCACGCAGTGTGATAAATATTGATTAATTTATCAAATTGACCAGTCATTATGAATATTGCTATCACCTACTTGGGCAAAGTGATAATAATACGTTCAGGAGTGACCATCAGACAGACGCTAGCCAATCGGCACTGCGAGTTGCCGATTGATATTTAGAGTGATATCAGAAATGGAGCTAGACATTCTAGGTAGAGATTCAAGTACCCATTCTGAATATGTAGGTTCGCCTGCATTGCATGAAACACAAATACCAGAACAATGAAATGATTTCTATAACACACCATCACCATATTCGCCCTCACCTGGATCAGTACAATGAAACAACATTTCTAATGATGAGTCAGAACTACAAGGGATCAACAATATCCGAGAACCAGAAATACGATGACAGGACAACATACAAGAAACAACACCTGAATACTCATTACAACATTATTTTACTACATATGTCCCAGAATAAAACAAATTTTGTTATATCTATAATAAGTTTACCTGAACCAAATTTTGTACCAAAATCAAGAAAAGGGTAGTTTCAAGCACTCTTAGTAACGTTTTGTAAAATTTAAATATCTACATGAACAATAAGGATCTTACCTCAAACAAACAGCTACTTTTTCTCTAGGCAATAAAGACTCCTTGAACTTTGTGTCTTGCTTAGTTCTTTGTGTTTAATTTTAGTTACAATGGTCTTGAACTCATATTTACTCATCCTAAAATATTTCAAAAATCTGTCCTCATCGTCTACAAGCTCCTTGAATAATGTGTAGAATTCTTCTCTTTTTTGTTTTACATTCATGGGATGAACAGCAAACTTCTTTTTTTAGTTGCTTTTCTATACAACCTGATTCTTCTTCTTCTTCTAGTAAAATTGCCATCACGGCTAGTTCTTCTATCAAAAATTTTTGGAACATGGTACACGCGTGCACTCCCTACTATGCCTGAAGGCTGGGTTGTAGATGTGAAAACTATTGTCTGTGCTGTATCTGCCACGTTATGTGCTGGCCATGCTACGTGCCTGTAGATATGAATGAAGCTTTATCATCACTTTGCCCAACTAGGTGATAGCAGTATTCATAATGACTGGTCAATTTGATAACTAATTGAAATTTATTACAATGCCCGATTTTGTTGGTCATTATTCATAATGCCCATATTAATCACTTTGTCTATAACATATATATACATATTTGCTTACATATATATATATATACACTGTAGTTTTTGTGTGTATCTCACAGTAAATTGATAGAACAGAGAGAAAACCTTCACATGCAAGTAATCCAGACCTACGGGAGCAGTTGTAGGCATGAGTTCATAATTAATTTAAAATCAGCAGATAACTTGCCCTATCATACAGCCAATACCTGCTTTCAAAGTTTACTTCAAACACATGTTATATATATTGCACAAAAATAATAAAAATGCTATACAATATTATTGTTTAGCATTTTTATTATTTTTGTGCAATATATATAACATGTGTTTGAAGTAAACTTTGAAAGCAGGTATTGGCTGTATGATAGGGCAAGTTATCTGCTGATTTTAAGAAATAACATTGTATTAAATTTCAATAAGTAACTATTCTTCCTCCACTTTGGAGTTAACTTTTTTTTTTCTCTTGGTGCAGCAAAAAGTTAATTTCTTTTGTTCTTAAAATTTTATAAATATAATTTTTTAAAATATTTTTCTAAATAGTTTCCCCATTAGTGTGCTTATTTACAAATGTATTGAGTAGAACCTAGATTGTTCAGTCTTCTAATATAGGAAGTTCTGAAAACTTTGTTTCTAAATTTTTGTTTTTATATTTACAGTTATTGAATAATTTGATAAAGAAATTTAAAAATTTAATTTTAGTTAATATAATTTAGTCTTGAATAGCAAATTTTGAGACAAAGAGGTTAAATAATTTTTAAATTTCAGTTATGAAAAACTGCAACTGATCAGAGATTTTTCAAAGGGGGGAAAATTATTTTATATGATAACTGATATCAGTGGCGTACCGTAGTGGGGGCGGCGGGGGCGGCCCACCCCGGGCGGCACTTTTTAGGGGACAGCAAAATTACCTTTTAGGGGATGGCAAAATTTCACAATAAATAATAATAATAATATCTTGTAAAAATTTNTATTTATTTTTTGTGAATTATTTCAAAGCATTTTAAAAAGAACATGTAATCTTTTAAAACTAAGTACTATTAACTATATTAGATAAAATTTTATCATTTAATTATGTGCACCGTCATGGCGGCGGTCGCAACAGTTTATGCTCCCTATGGATTCTTCCAGGAGGGGAGCGGCCGGCAGGCCGCCGATTGTTTAACGTCGCTAGTTATTGATAAATACTACTTATTGATACGTGTGTTCAAGAACTACCGTGAATCAATAACTAGCGACGTTAAACAATCGGGAGCCTGCTGGCGGCTTCCCTCCTGGAGGAATCCGTCGAGAGCACAAACAGTTGCAACCGCCGCCAAATTCGGTACTAAACGCAACATGCACGCACAACTCAGATGCGAGTGCTGATTGGCTAGCGTATTTTGGATGATCACTCCTCAACGCATTATTATCACTTTGCCCGACTACATGATAGCAGTATTCATAATGACCGGGCATTATGAATAATGCTCATATTAATCACTTTGTCCATAACATATACACAGAAATGTAAAACAGCAAGTACACAGAGGTAAAAAGAATTCATCTTGAATTTTATATTCAAATATTTTTAGATAAAGGAAAAGAAAACGTAACAACCTATTGCTTTTATATTCATACAAAGACTGTAGTATATTTAGTTAAAATTACAATTATTATGTTTAATTTATTTGTAATATTTGTTCTAAATAATTATACAATGGCTTGGAAGGAAGCTTTTTATATTGAGGAAAACGAGTTTTTGTGATTTATTATTTAATACATTGTTTGTATTCATTGAGCATTCCACTTGCAATTGGGATGAAAAAAGAATTATTTAATTATTGATTAAATAAATAAATAAGACGGATTGCTAAGATTTTTAATTCGACTATATAAAAATAATAATAAAATTTTTAATATTTTTATTCTATTGTAAAAGCGTTATTAATTATCGTATAGAAATAGTTATGTTATAATTTATTTGCTTCATACATATTACTATATCTGTCTTTTTATTATTATAAAAAATACTTTTATTTAACTTTATATCATGTCATCAATTGAATCTTGCAACTCAGATTTCTATATTAAATAAAAGTGGATGAAGACAAACTAACGAGATATCATTAACATGAATTGTCATCGAAGTTAGCTGTTTTAGTACTCTCAGCATCCTCCCAACTCTGAAACCCGATAAATATAACCAATTGTAGAATTTAATCGTGTGTAAATGCGCTGTAGTGATTGGTCATCCTCACCATTCCCCACCTGAATATCGAAAAACATGGCCAATAAAAATGCGTTTTTTATAATTTTTAAATTATTTACAATGACTCAAGATAACCATTCTCTATTGTGAAGACATTATAAGTCTATTGAAAATTGATTTTATTCGGTGTAGATTGGATTTTTTGACGTAAATTATAAACACATAATATGCTTTAAATGGTATTATTTTTTAAAATATTTTAATACAGCTCTCCGTTAATAGTCCGACAGGTATGGGACCAAAGGGGTGTTGGATTACCAAAAGTCTCGAATTACCGAAAATAATTACATATTTTGCATTGTTTTGCTAGCAGTAGCTTACAATATTCCCTACTCCAACTGTTCGAACAGAACTGCTCACAGAAAACACACGAAATGTGTGTCATCGTGTAAGAATTGGATGGGGATATTACGTCGCGACATGCTTCTGTGCAAGCAGACACGTAACGGAGACGGGTACCTTGACGGGAGGTGCATCGGACTACTGAGCATGTTGGACTACAAAACGTCGGACTATCAAGGGAGAGCTGTATTGTTGTTTTTAGATAATTTCAACATATTTTATAATTAAGAAAAATGAAAGTTACAAAAGTAAATTAATGAATATATTTTTTAAAACATGAAATTAATTCCTTTAAAATACAAAAGAAAGCTTTTTCATCTTCCAGACATTTTTTATAGATGGAAATTCATACAGAAGTTTCTTTCGAGTTCTTTTCAAATTCATTTATTAAAGTAATCATTATTATTTATAAAAATT